TGATATTTTCATGAATCCATGTCATGCAAGTATTTTATGATATGAATTCATGTTATAATGATATGCATGCATTATGCTATGAAAGATTTTATAAATCAAGGATGATTTTGAATAAAGAATCAATCAGTTTTATGAAAATATGAAGCTTCCAATTGAAGTACCTCCCATTATGAATGGATGACATGATTTATATACTCCTGATTGAAGTACTTATTATGAAAGACTATCATGATTTAGATGCTTTCGATTAAAGTGACTCTTATGAATATGTTATGAAATCATGATTTTAAAAGAGTTATTCTTATGAGATTTTCATGATTGAATTGGTATTATCAAATTCTTGCCATTTCAAAGATTATGAATATGAGTATTACTATGCATGTTTTATGTTGGGAGTTTACTTAGCATCGAGTTGGACTAGTGATAATTATCCAGGTCCCAGAACTATGTGCCCCCATAGGTTATGTCCCGCTTGGACATTAGCTAGTGGATCCACATAAGCTTATGATTATGGTCCTTACCTTGACAAGTAGGATACTCTCTTTTCGGTGTGGGAGCAATACACTGAACTCCATGCTATAGATCACATGATTTATGTCGGTTAACAACATCTCCCACCAAAGAATATGACTTCCTCAAAGACTTATGTTTTGAGTATGATGATGATTTTAAAGAAGAATGCATGACCTTGTACTATGTTTTATGAAATCATATGATCAGATTTATATTATGCTTATTTGGTCATTGCATTAAAATGTTTTTAGACTTATTTTGTATAACCCAAATGGTTAGGTTTCAGTTTCCGAATGAACCATTCATATAGTGAAAAGGTAGTAATTTAGCACTTATAAGTCAGTTTATCTCACACCTTAAGGCTAAAAATATGATTTCTAAGGGTTGCATCTATCATTTAGTTTGGGTTAGGGATACGAATTCTGAATCCCCTACTCTTGAGTCATTTTCTATTGTTGATAAGTTTTCAGAAGTATTTCTTGATGATCTTCCTAGAGTTCCTCCCAAAAGGTAAATCCACTTTGGAGTTGACCTTCTTCCATGTCACGACCCAAAGTACACTTAGATGTGACATGTCGAATAAGACCAAGAGAGGCCCTAAACAAGCCACTTGACATAAACATGATGTAAAATAAATACAACAAGAGAGAATAAGCAATAAAAGTCTCATATCATATAAGGAATTTGATCATAAGTGCGGAATACAAAACGGTGCCTTCCATAGCCTTTCTAACATCATAAGAGTGGTTGAGACGTAACCCATACACCACGTAGAAGTCTGAAAAAAAAGGCAACTAAAATACTAAAATATCAAAGGTGTGGTCCTCGAAGAATGGGAACTCACTAATCCAAGTGTCAAGCTAAGCAATCCCGATCTAAGCACGTGTACGAGGAGAAGCGTCGGACCCTACATTATAAAATATTATAGGCATAAGTATGTAGTAGTACATTGAATGTACTAAGTATGGGAAGATGAATAAAACCATAGGCATGATTATATGAGAACTTTAAAAATGATATACATGATGTAACACCTCAGAAATTGGAAAGTAGAAAGGAAAGGGAAAATTCTGATTTTTGGCATTGAGACAGTGACTATGAGTCCTTTTTGCGGACCGTAGGAAGTTGAACGGTCCATAGGAAGGAGTTGTAGAGTTGGAGCTGAGTTTTTGAAATTTTAAATTTCTGAAGTTTGACCTACGAATAAACAGGACAAGCCGTAGAAATTTGGATGAGTTGTAAATGGGTTCCATAGGGGTATTCCAGACTTAGTAAACATTTTTAGTTCAAAGTGAGGTCTACGGACCATAGGAAGTTTGACGATTCGTAGAATTGTGTCGTAGGAAGTTGGCCAATTTTAGGTCCCAGTAACTCGACCTATGGTTGACCAGTATGGTCCGTAGGTATTTCTACGGCCCTTAGGTCCAAACAGTAAGCTCCTCCAACAGTTATTTCTTAAGGGTATTTGGGTATTTTCAATGCATTTGATACATATACTATGTCATTTTGACCCTAATTTTATGTCCTATAACTACCCTTCTACCCCTAAAACTACCCCAACTTTTTCATTCACTCAAATCCCCAAATCTCATCCACATTCATCTTCCCCAATTCTCTCTTCCCCCAATTCAGAATTCCTCAAATCCCATCTACATTCATCTTCCCCAATTCATAACCAAGTAAAAAATATGGGTCCATATAAATTCAATTGAAAACCATGTAATTACATCAAATCATGCATAATAAGATTGAAAATAGACAATTGAATCATAATCAATAAGATCCATGGAGATTTCCATGAAACCCTAATGAAATTGGGTGAAGTCAATTTAGGAATTTGAGATTCTTTTGGGACCCAATGGATGAAAGGAATTCATTGGTGAATTCTCACATACCTTGATAATCAAAGCCCAAAAGCAATGGATAATAAAACCTTGAAGCCCTAACTTCAACCTTGAGAGCTTGAGAGAGAATTTGGGGAAGAAGACTTGAGAGATATTTTAGAATTAAGTGAATGAGATAATAGGGTTTGATTTTGATGGGTTAAAACGGTTATAGGTGTAGTTGTAGGTCCAAAATGACATAGTTTAGGAGTTAGTTGGGTAGAAAATACCAAAAAACCCTTAATTAAAATCTGCCAGAGTGACCTATAGTTTCGACCTACGGTCCATAAGACTTTCTACGGATCGTACTTGTCAACCATAGAATTACTTATGGGGGCCTAAATATCCATTCAACTTCCATGGAATTATTTTATTGTCTGTCGACCATTCTACAGTCCATAGAACCCAAGTTCAAGCCCAAAATTTTACTAAGTCTGGATCACTTCTACAAGTACCTCCTATAACCCATATAAAGCTATACGACCCATCAAACTCTTTTGTAGACATGAGGTCTCAAACCATTTCTCGGAATAGACTCTACCTATCAGTCTTATGACCCATCAAATATCCTAGGATTTGTCTTGTTCACCCGTAGGTCAAACTTCAGAAACTTTAAATCCCCAAAATTCAACTCAAGTTCTACGAATGCCCTTCTACGACCCGTAGGACTTTCTACGATCCATAGATAGGACTCGTAGTTCATAATACCAGTGACAAAAACTAAAATTTTCCTTTCCAATTTTTGAGGTGTTACATTCCAGATATCGAGCCTATCTCTATGTCTCCTTACAAAATGACTCTAACCGAACTTAAGGAGTTGAAAGATCAGTTAAAGGACCTTTTGGATAAGGGTTTCACTAGACTGAGTATTTCTCCATATGGTGCTCCAGTTCTCTTTGTCCGTAAGAAAGATGGTTCCCTCATAATGTTTATTGGCTATCGACAATTGAAACAATTCAAAACTCAAGAATAAGTATATCATCCAAAGGATTGATAATTTATTCGATCAGCTTCAGGGTGCTAGTTTCTTCTATAATATTGACCTCAGGTCGGGTTATCATCAGCTTAAAATGAGAGAATATGACATTTCGAAGACAGACTTTAGTACTCGGTATGGTCACTATGAATTCTTAGTTATGTCTTTTGGACTAATGAATGCTCCTACAACTTTTATGGACTTGATGAACAAGATGTTCAAGAAATATTTATACATGTTCATTATTATATTCATTGATGACATCTTGATCTATTCTTGCAGTGAGAATGAGCATGCCGATCGTTTGAGGATTGTCTTGCAAGTTCTCAAAGATCGTCAGCTATTTGCTAAGTTTAACAAGTGTGAATTTTGGTTGAGGTCGGTTGCATTTCGTGCCCATTTTGTCTCCGGAGAAGGTATTCAAGTTGATCTTAAGAAGACCGAGGTAATTAAGAACTGTCCTAGACCTTATTTTCCCTCAGATATTTGGAGTTTCTTGGGTTTAACTGGATACTACATACGATTTGTGGAAGGATTTTCCTCTATTGATTTGCCTTTAACTACATTGACTTAGAAAAAGGTTAAATTTTAGTGGTATGAAGCTTGTGAGAAGAGTTTTTAAGAGTTGAAGACTAAACTTACTTTAGCCCTAGTGTTGATTTTACCAGAAGGATCCATTGATTTTGTTGTGTATTGTGATACCTCGACAACTGTTCTTGGTTGAGTTCTGATACAATATGGTAAGGTGATAGCATATGCTTCTAGGAAACTCAACATTCATGAGAAGAATAATCTGATTCATGATTTGGAGTTGGCGGCGGTGATGTTTGCCTTGAAGATATGGAAACATTATTTCTATGGTGTTCATGTGGATGTGTTTAACCAAAAGGATTTGAATCTTCAACAAATGATGTGACTTAAATTGTTTAAGTATATTATTATATGAGCATTCTTTATAATCTGGGTAAGGCAAATGTGGTAGCCGAGGCTTTTAGCAGATTGTCCATGCATAGTGTTGCTCACATTGAGGATGATACGAAGAAGTTGGTTTGTGATGTTCATATATTGTCCTATTTGGGAGTTTGTATGGTTGATTTAGAAGATAGTGGTGTTATTGTGCAAAATGGTTCAGAATCGTCTCTTGTGTCGGATGTTAAGGCAAATCAAGATAATGATCCGAATTTAATTGAATTAAAGAATTCAGTTTCAGAAAAAGCTATTGAGACTTTCTCCCAAGAGGGAAAATGTGTGCTTTGATACCAAGGTCATTTGTGTGTTCTAAATATTGATGATTTTAGGCAACAATTATTATTATAAGCTCACATTTTTCGGTATTCTATTCACCAGGAGGTCAATAAGATGTATCGTAATCTACGGGAAGTCTATTGGTGGAATGAGATGAAAAGAATATTGCGGGAATTGTGGCTAAGTGTCCAAATTACCAACAAGTAAAAGTTGAGCATCAGAAACCGAAAGGTATGACTCAAGATATTAACATTCCTACTTGGAAGTGGGAAGATTTGAATGTGGACTTTATTATGGGTTCACCTCGCACTCGTCGACAACATGATTCTATTTAGATTATTATAGATGGAATGACTAAGTCTGTGCATTTCCTTCCCATAAATATGTCGTATTCAACTGAAGATTATGCTAGGTTCTATATTAGGGAGATGGTTAAGTTGCATAGAGTGCCTTTATCCATCATTTCAGACATAGGAAACCAGTTCACTTCTCAGTTTTGGAGATCTTTTCAGAAAGGACTTGGTACTCAAGTTAAACTTAGCATAACTTTGCACCTGCAGACTGATGGTCAGGCAAAACGAACTATTCAAACTTTGGAAGATATGTTGAGAGCTTGTGTGATTGACTTTAAAGGTAATTAGGATGATCACTTGCCTTTGATTGAGTTTGCTTATAATAATAGTTATTACTCAAGTATTCAAATGGCTTCTTTTGAGGCTCTCTATGGTAGGAAGTGTAGATCTCATATTGGTTGGTTTAAAGTTGGTGAGGTCTGTTTGATAGGGCCCAAGTTAGTTCATGTGGTGATGGAGAAAGTTTGACTTATAAGGGATAGATTGAGAATGACTTAGAGTCGATAGAAATCTTATGAGAATGTGAGAAGGAGAGATATATAATTCACTGATGATGATTGGGATAATTTTTAAATCTCACCTATGAAAGGTTTGATGAGATTGGGAAAGAAAGGGAAACTCAGTCCCTGTTATATAGGCTCATATCAAATTTTGAGACGTTTCAATAATGTGGCTTATGAGTTAGATTTGCCTTCAAATTAAGCATTGGTACATCCCGTATTTCATGTTTCCTTGTTGAAGAAGTGTCTTGGTGGTCCTACTTCACTAGTGTCATCAGAGAGTGTTAGCGGGAAAAAAAGTCTCTCATATGAAGAGGTTCCAGTTGAGATATTAGACCGCAAGTCCAGAAGTTGAGAAACAAAAAAGTTGCTTCCGTGAAAGTTCTTTGGAGTAATAAGTTAGTTGAGGGTCTACTTGGGAGGTCGAAGCCAGTATGATATCCAAGTACCCCATCTCTTTCCCTTTGATTCAGTTTCAGTTTGAGGTATTAGTTCCTCCTCTGTACTCTTTCAGATTCATGCGTTTAAGCTATTATCATGATTCCCTATGCATCCATGTTCATGAAATCAATTTTAAATTTCATGTTTTGGCTTAGAGTCGATTACTCTTCAGTTTTATGAATTTTGTGAATGAGTAGCATTGCTATTTATTAATGATCTGATTTGAGTATTTTGATCTTGTAGTGAGGATGAAATTGAGAATAAGAGTTCTTAAATTATTTAAATTAGTTGAATTTGTGATTGAAGATTCCCAATAATAGACGGGTTGACGTCATTCTTAAGAAATCATCAAAAGTTGTATGAAATTGCCTTGTGAATCCTTTGGGGAAGTCTAAGTACCCATTGGAATTGATTTATGAATTGTTGGGTTGAATTTGGACCAATTTTGGTCATGTTGGTGACTCTGAAGTACCTGCACTTCACAATGGTTGCCCTGTATTTTGCAGGTGCAACACCGGTGAGGCAAGAAACTTCACTATTCCTCAACCTTTGACCGATGTCACTTGAAAGCCGTAGGTCTCCATTGGTAAAATGTCAGTGTGACACCTGTCTGCCCAAATAGTTGCCAGCTTTCTAAGTAAAGGTGTGATTAAACTAGCGGTTTACAATCTCACATTTGTGGAGCCGCCAATCAAACGCCAGCCTCATCTTGAACGTCAATACTGAATTCTTTTTTATACTCCTATTCTTTTTACAATTTCTTTTGCATAAAATGATTTCTTGAAAGAGGCAATCAAACTAGAAGGACTGTCAACCCTCTTCTTCCAATGGCAAAGGAAAAAATCAAAAGTAAGGGCAAGGAAAAAGCTCATCGCAATACAATCAATGAAGTAGAGCGCATTTGATTCTGAGTTGAGGAGATGAAAGATAAGTATACTCTCTACAAAGGTAACCGCACCTTCACTCCGGAGAAGAGTTTCAACATAGCTGGGCTGGGGGAGGATCCCTAATATCGTGCAACAGTTCACCGCAGAAAGTGGATTCCCCTTGCAGACACCCCGTGAGACTTCTTCCCAGAGTTTTTCATAGAATTTAATGCCTCATATCAGGCAAGGCAAGAGTCGATATGCCTTCATGGGCAATAGAAAAAATTCCAAATCTTTCTTCAGTTCTTGTGAGGGTGTGGAGGTCGACATCACACCAGAGATGATCAACTCTCTCTTTTAGGATGAAAATATAAGGAAATGGTTTGCATTTGCTGAGAAAACTGCCACCAAAAGCAGTCAACTTCAATGGGTTGCTAGCACAATTGTTGTGGGCCAGCCAACTTGGGCTACCATGAAAGGTAAAATAACTCACCTAGACTTGTAATTTGAAGCTAAACTCTGTCTAGAATTTGTATGTGTGCGACTCATGCCCTCCAAAAATGACCAAAGATTCCATAATCAATCTGCCATACTTATCACTTGTTTAATGAGAGGGTTCAATAGCAATTATGCGGAAATAGTTGTGACACAAATAGAAAGAAAGGCACGGCGAGAAACCCTCTCTATGCCCTTTCTATTTCTAATAAAATAATTGTGTGATCATGCCTATGTGAGGTACCTACACTTGGATGTTGCTTCCCCCACTATCGGGTGATTCAGGTGGATCACAAGAGAGATGTCGAGGCACCAAAGATCAAAAAGTGTAAAATAAGGATGTTAGGAGACCAATATTCTCCTTATGATACTGTGGATGCACGAACTCCCAGAGAACCGGGACATGCAATAATGAGAGAAGACACTACTTCGGGAGGACCTTCATCTCATCCATCATCCAACCAAAGTTCCTACCACACACTGATGAAAGTAACTTATTCTAATGACCACCACCTAAAAAGGCTTGCAAAATCTCTACCAGACATGCTCATGGCTGTGACGAAGAGAGTAATAACGGGCTTGGCAACAATGTAGACAACTTTCGCAAATGGGTTGATGTGGTAGAAAGGGTTGTAACTATTTTGAAAACTGACATGAGAGACTTAAAGGGGAAAGCTCTGATACATAATAGTGAAATGGCTATGTTAGCTGAGGTAATGAATGCTCTGAAAAATATTCTTGGAAAAATAGTTGCTTTGATGTAGAGTATAGTGATCACAAATGAGGAAGATAATGAGGATACAACAGAGATGCAACAAGACATGAAGGCATCCCTGAGGACAACCCACTCGCAGGGAGATAAAACAGAGTCTAGTGTGCCGTTCAAGCATCGTGATGATGACACAAGTGATGAAATTGAGGCAGGTTATAAAGAAGAAGATATTGAATGATCCAGAAAATATTTACCCCTTCTTATTTTATTAAAAAAACATTGGGGACAATGCTAACTTAAAGTATGGGGTCGTTTGAGGTTATTTGTGTGTTAATTTAGTCGTTATATGTTAATTTTTAATTTTTGTGAATATGTGACAATGATTTTACCTTTCCTTTAAGAATGTTAAATTATGCCTTGTTAGGCATGTATGAGATATATAATTTGCTTGATTGTTAGCCAGGTTGGTCTTACACGTCTATATTGTTTTACTATATGTGTTTGCTTAAAATTTGCACTTAGTGCCTTTTAGCAAGGCCTTGTTCTCTTAATGAATTAATGGCACATGATTCAAAATTAAATTCGCCTTTGTAATAGTAGTTAGTTGAATAAACTCCAAGGGTTTTCTTGATGTCACGGTTATTTTCCAAGGAGCAATTCTTTTTTCTTTTTTCTTTTATGTAATGTATTTTGTTCTTGAGTCTTTTTGTATCAATTCGGATTGGTGTTTTTTATGATAGATTGAGAGGTGACTTTCTTAAGGGAAAATACCAAATTTTAGTTTTAAGTTGAGTCTAGTGTCACACCTCTTACAAGAGGGACCACCAATTTTATTTAATTTGCAAAGGAAGTTTTAAAATGATTTCAAAAATGGGACAAGTGAATTGGAAATTAATCTCTTGTATGGTTTGTACATTTTTTATTTGGCTTTATAATTTACAAGAGGGATCTCCCTGTTATTGTACGTCAAAAGTTATTCGATTTAATTGATTTTGAGACTAGGCTAAGATTTTGTTGGATCATAATGCCTTGTGCGAAAATAATTTGATTCTTTCTTGTATGTGCATGTTGTCTAGAACTTACCCAGAATGTATTTCAAGGAGAAATCCTAAATTTGACTTGGCTTGAAAGATGAACCTATGGCCTTTTTAACCAGCCACTCTGTAATACCTCAAAAGTTGAAAAGTCGAGTTGGAAAGGAAAGTACAAAAAATTGGTTGCAATAGTGAACTACAAGTCCAACCTACGGACCGTTGAAAGTCCTACAGACCGTAGAAAGTGAGTCATATAGAACCATGTGTTGAGTCTTGGAAAAATCAGTCTCTGATGTTGGACCTACGGCTTGCCAAAACAACCCATAGGATGTTTAGCGAGTCATAGATGAGTCCCGTAGAAGGGTCCCAGACTTAGTGAAATTTTGGACTAAAAGCTAATGTCTATGGATGGGGTCTACAGACCGTAGAAATTTAGACGGTCTGTAAATGTGGGTCGTAGGAATGACCCAAGATTTTGGCCTAGTAGTTGATCCTACTATTGACCAGGACGGTTCATAGAAATTGTTACGGACGGTAAGTCAAAATCGTAAGAATAACTTTACAACTAATTTTAAGGGTATTTGGGTCTTTTTCTATGCTCCTAATACCTATACTATGTCTTATTGCCTATAAAAGAGACCTTATAACTGATTTTACTCCTAAGAATCTACCCATTCCCTTTGGTTCCCTAAAATCTCCAAGATCCTCTTAAGTTTTTCTCTCTCAAGATAAAGGAAGAAGAACCTAGGGTTTCCTAATCAAGTCTCTTTTTCACCATTTTTGTCTTTCAAGGTCAAGATACGTGGGAGTTTATCAATGAGTTCCATTCACCCATTGAGTCCAAATTTTTTCTCAAATTCTCCAATTTAATCTCAATTTACTTGATTAGGTTTTCATCCAATTCCTCATGGGTTCTAATTGTATTGATCCAATTGTTTGATTTTGATCTTATTACGATTATATTAACTCAATTACATGCTTTCCAATTTATGTCACATGAACCCATGCATTGATCATGATTTTTACTATAAAACATAGAAAACATGAATGTATAAAGAAGTTCGAATTTATGAATGGTGTTTTCATGAGACTATGCATGATTTATGAATAGAGAGGCTTTATGATTTAAGTTACTTTGAGATGAGAATCAATAAAATTATGAAAGGATTTTCTCACATATTAAGGAATCATGGTTTGGTGAAAGGTTTTCTCACTTATGCTTGATTCAAGATTTAATGAGCTACTCTATGATATTTAAGCTTGAATTAGTAACTAAATAATGATTTTCCATGGATGATGATAAGTTTATGAATATGACTATTCCGTTGGGATTTAACTTAGCACAGAGAGAATTTTGGGGTGGAGGCTCAAATAGGGTAGTCTCTACAACCTCTAGTTTCAAACTACGTGCCCTTGTAGGATTGTCTCGAATGGCCTCACTAGTGAATCAACATATAGCACATGATATGATACGGAGTTCTACCTTGGCATGTAGACTCTTTCATCTCGATGTGGGAGTTATATTGGATTTCATGTTATAGCTCGCATGGTCTATTGTCGGTTGAAGCTAATATCCCACAAAATGAACTAAGTTGTCCTTAAGATTTTATGAAGCTTTACTCATGATATTAAGATGCATTAACCATGTCATGATTTATGATGTTCCGTAAAGGTTTTACTATGTTTAGCTTGGTCATGCATAACATGTTTTTGATTATGCCCTCTTTTGATCATATTTTATGTTTTCATGCATATACCTCATACTTAGTACATTCCATGTACTAATTCATACTTGTCCCCACATTGGTTTACTAATTTAGGGCGTGACAATTCCTCTTTCTCCGCTCGTGGCCAGTTGGTGATCATTTAGAGTTCATAGAGTTGGTGAGTCCTCATGTTCTAAGTAAAAAAGGCATCTTTGCTTTGGTTTCCTTATGCTTTAGCTTTTGGATGTTGTACGTGGTGTACGCGGTATGTCCCAACCGCTTCTTTTGATGTAGCAGATGACTTGTCAAGACTGTGAGAGATTTTTGCTTTGTAAATGTCAAACTCTTTTATTCGTATGAGATTCTTTACTTTTGTCTATTATGACTTATATATATATATGTCAAGTGTCTTGTGTAGGGCTTCTCGGTGTCTTGTGTAGGGCCTCTCGGGTTCTTATACACCATGTCACATCTAGGGTTTACTTTGGGTAGTGACAAACTTGGTGTTCATAGCACATGGTGTAACACCCCGGAAATCTAATGACTTAAGCTAGAGCCTAACATGTAAACTAGTAGCCTTAATGGGGTTAAACATAAAGATAAGAGTCGTAAATTAACCTCCCCTACTTAGTACTAATGTTTTAGGACCTAAATGTCAAGGCATGATCCCCGAGGACCCCCCTAAGGGTCCTTGAGGAGGACCCAAGAGAAGGCCCAAAAAGATGTCAAAAACAGCAGGACCAACGGATGGTCACCCACAAACCGTAGGTGGGGGCCGTGGGTTGAGGCTTGGCCTCCCCTGGTCCTCCCACTCTTTGAAGAAAACAACGGATTACCAGCACGAGGCATGAACCCACCCACAGTCCGTGGGTGGGGGTTTCGTGAGTCACACCTGAAGCTGCCTAGGTTCGGGTAAGTAAGGGATAGGTTAGTAAATTCCTAATTAATTAGTTAGTGTTAGGGGACAGTTTTTATGGTTTTATTATACATATTTAGGGCTTTTAGGACTATTAACTACCCTTACAACTCATTAGTACCCCAAACTCAAAAATTAGAAACTACCTCCCATCTCCAAAAATTCTCTCTCTAAGACTCCATTGAAAAGCAAGAACATGGTCAAGCTAGGGGTTCAAGAAGCAGCCTTTCTTCTTCAATTTCGTGTGGAAATCTTCATAAGGTATGGAAGTTTTCATCCTTGGGTAGCTATCACCCAATGAGTCCCTTCAAAAGCTTTTATCTCAAATCTAGAAATCTCCAAAAGCTAGGGTTTCAACTCAACCCATGGATTCCTTTCAAAGTTGATTTTAAAGGTTGAATTATGTTTGTTTATGAATGTATGACTGATTTTATATGATTTCAACTTAAATTCCTCAAGAATCCATGAGTTCCCCAATCCTAGCTATGTTCCTTCTTTACATTAAAAATGTTGTTGCAAGTTGGTCCAATTGATTGGATGTGAGTAGATTATGATGTGATTGCATGATTTTAGTATGATTCTATATGTATACTTTATTAACCTAATATTCTAGGGTGAAATTGATGTGGCCTAGGGTTATGTCATGAAATAGGCAAAAGAGGGTTTAGATGTGACCTTCTAAGATTGATGAACTTCTTAATGAATTGCCTTAGATTAGATCACCTAGACATGAATTGTTTATGAGAAAATCTTGTAGACATGAACTAACTTGATTAGGTCTTACATGATGAATCATGGTTGAAGTAGTATTGAGATTTAGTTTACTTGATGCTATATGTCTATGATTGAGTAAGAATGAAGCATGCAGTTAGTTTACCTTGAGAGTCAGGTTTACATGATGACCATGTGAGGTGTTTCTTGAGAGTAATGCTCATAATATGAAGATGACTCCTAGGGCTTTAATGGTAAAAGCTAATATGAATAAGTTAAGGAAGCTAAAGCTTAAAGAAGGAAGCTATTATGTATGTCAAATTGTATATGGCATTATTGTGAAAGGACTTCATCCACATGATCTATAATATGAGTATATGAGTGTATACATGGAATGAATGTTGTAATTGAGTTATGACTATATCTATGTCTCATATGGTGAATGCTACATGTGTTGACTTAACATGATCCTTGAATGCAAGATATGAGGGGTATGCATGATTATGATGTTATGTGCATGTTTTATGAACACTTAGAAAGTGAAGTGTCTATGATGATAATGTTGTTGTTGTGTCATTGAAAAGACAATCGCACACCCCCCATGCATGAACATGACTATGATGTGACTAAGGTGTTGTTGAAAGGCTAATTCTCATATAAACCCTCACATATGACTATGCATGAAATATGTATGATGATAAGTTTGTTGTGTGGATTGAAAGACTATTCTCATGAACACACTATGATTATGATGTGAAAGGTTTACTCACATATTGATGATTCTAAGGTTGAAAGGACATTCTCACCTAATGAATCTATGAGCTATTATGATACTATGTTGGTTTGAGTGCCTAGTGCATTGTTTTATGAA